TTCATGAATGCTTTAAGATTGAGCACTTTTCATATAGCTGGGTGACTTGGGTCACGAGATACAGACCAAAACGTGGACCCGGGTAAACTTAGGCTGTATTTGTTTAATATCGGCATAAAATGAAAGCTGTTATGTCAAAAGTATGCGGAAGCAAATAAAAAAAAAATTAAAAAATTCATGAATACCGTTTTAGTGAAAAAATAAAATTGAGTAATGCGGACAGTTCTTTAATCTTCTTTAATATAAAAATTAATATAAAAATAAGTAGGGTTTTCCTTCCTGACGCTATAACTCCAGAACGCACGAACCGATTTTCACGGTTTTGCATTCGTTGGAGGTTTATAGCTAGGAAAATTCAGGAAAAATTTCAATAGAAAAGTATATGGTGTGTGAGTATCCCCCACGAAAATAAGTATGTTTCATTTAAAGTAGATGGTGCCATTGTTTAACAGCTATTCATTGTACTTTGCTCAGTTAATTTCATGTGACACTAGCGAATACCCGGCGTGCTTCGCTGCGCCTTAAAAGTAATTTTGTTTTGTTACTCCCTCTCACAACATTTGAAAATATTATTTAATATTGCTGTACATATTTGTATAGTAGGGAGATTTTTTCAAATTATATAAATATACGTTATTTGAATATTGAATCAATACACGTTTGAGGAAAGGGTGCGATAGTAGACTCCAGTTATAAGATTATAAATTAAATTTCCAAGAGAAAGTCGGTTCTTTACATATTTTCTAATTACCTTCGAAAATATATTAACTCAAAAAAAAAATAAACAATGCTTCATAGATCGATTTTTTTAAATCTAACTTCATAAAGTCTTTTTAAAAATATTTTGTAAATGAGGCCATAAGAGCTTAGGGGGAGAGTTACAACACAAAAATACATTTAAGGCGCAGCGAAGCACGCCGGGTAATTGCTAGTATACCATAAATTCAAGCGAGCACTTTTTTCATATTTGAATTTTTTTCCTTATCAATTTTGGATACATAGTATGAAAAATTTAGTTTGATCTTATCACGAAATTTAGCAATTTTTAAGGGTTAACTTGCCACATGTAAGTGAAAAAGTGAAAAGGACTCTGAGAATTCGCCACATAATACATACATATATGTATATCAACCACACACCCGCACGCTACTTTTAAGCGTTGAAGGAGAATATTTTTCGTAATTCTTGCGAAACTCAACAGCATTGCGTGAATGTAAACACCAAAAGACATTTATTTTCGCCCCAAACAGGTGTACTGAAGCATTGATGCGTGAATTACTGCTGTCAAATTGCTACACACGATTCACTTTGTATACATACATATGTATGTATTAGAGTCCAGCGCAATTGTATTTGCCGCATTTCATTCAATAAGTACTCCTTGCATTGTACTCTACTCCCAACACATTGTTACTTTTTTCCGCATACATACACTACTTGGCGTTGAGAGAGTAAATACTTGACGTACTTGCTATTACTCCACCAAAGTACGTACTCTACTTTCCCTCATCGCGTACGAGAGATATTTGCTGCTGCCAAAAGGGAGTAGCAAATCTACTCCCTGTATACTTGTAGTACGGTAAGTACTTGCGTATTAAATTTCAATTCTGGTTGTTAGCCTACTAGTTGATATCGTTTGCAGCGCTGGTCAGTGAAATTGAAAGAGTAAAAATAGAATATGGAAATCGACGATGTAAGAAAATGTTTACGGCCTTATTTATAAAAAATAACGTAGATTTAGACAGTTGTTTAATGTGACATTTTCATAAAACTTTTGTATTCATGCAGCTTTTTAAATCTATGTATGTACTTAAATTTTTATGAAAGTATTACTTCTCGTCTCTAATTTTCTATAAAACTATTTGCAGTCATTAACCAACAAATAAGTTGTCAAAAACAATAACTTAAGCAATGCTGCTATACGAAATAAAATTATTAGTGGCAAATCCAAATTTTGAAAAGTGCCGATTTTCACATTCGATAGTTGGACATGGTAGCGACGAGATGTACGAGCATTTTTTTCTTAAGAGCTGCATACTGATTTAAGAAATTTTTTATAGAAGAAAATTTATTTTCCATTTATTGTGCGTAATTTTATATGAATTTTTAGTTT